ATTAAACAAGATAGAAAAATAAAGTCTTATGTCTTTCACTTGAATTATTACATCTTTTGGTTTGATAATATATAATAATTCACATTAATACATAAATTCAACCTCAATCATCAAAGATCACATATGCATCACATGAACCCGACTAAACCTATCATGATATAACCGAGACTCTCAACCTAATACACTTATCTCACCATATCACATAAATGGGAATCAATAAATCACATAATCCTTATCTCTTACTGAACTAACCATGCTTCGAGCTAGCATGAACTCACCCTTACTAAAGCACAAGCGGCATTAAACACATAAGACACCAGAGGTTGAACAGAGGCCACGAACATCCATAAAAATAGCAGCCTATAAGATATTGACTCATCTCATAATTTTCGAAACCTGGCAAAGGTCCGAAGAGGGCGAATACATTCCCGGTTCTCATTGACCGGGTCTTCCCTTGAAGAAACCTAATATAATTATATAGCAAAGGAAACTGCTATGGGCATAACTTATCTCGATAACAACATATTGAACCTCATAGCGAGGAACTTCTAGAGTCTGAACTTAACTCTATATCACTAGAGTTCAACATCAAACACTAGAGTTCACATTAAACGAAGGTGGATAGATTTCCTAAGCCCCAAATAATTACATGATATATATATCCATATATCCATTCACATCACAAGTAGTTTCATTGCTACTTATGTAAAAATACAACATTTCACATCTTCACATTATAAGTATTTTCATTGATATTTATTTAAACACATACCTTAAGCAACGCGGCGTGACGAAGACGAGTGGTCATATTTCAAAATCTAAACACTTAACCATAGATAAACCAGTCTACAGAAACGCAGACTGGCTCTGATACCAAACTGTAACGCCCCACTTTATTTTAAAGGATTTATCGAATTTATTTAATAAAAATCACAATAAATTTTTCGCAAACTTTAATTTAATTAAATACTCAGTGGGCGCTACTCAAATTTACCATAAGCCTTTAACCAAAAATGCAAACGTATCAAATAAAGACAACATGCACGAATAATAAATCATAAACCAAACTGGCATTCATTAAGTTCCAAATCATAAAGATAATTCACAATTCCAAGTTCAAAACGACACAGTCATAATATCTCAACATAAATGAGCGGAAGCAAATAAATAAGCGATAAATAAAAGCATGACCACCACCCGTCTTGTCTCGTCACCCGCCGACTGCTTAACCTGCATCAGTTACGAGCAGGTGGGAGTGAGTACAGTTAACTATCGTACTCACACTATGCATATGAATAACATAATAATGGTATGGTCGCAGCATGAACATAAACAATAAAATCATGTCACATCTCTAGCCACATCAATGACTATAGTCTCATCAAAGACTCACTCATGTACATCTATGCTCATCAAAGCTAAGCCATGCCATATCAGTGAAACATGGGAGTGCGTGCTACATCAATGACACGGCCTTCTCATAGGTCTTAATGAGATTTACCTCACAGGGTAACCGTATCTTATCATACGGGGACAACCGTATCGACGGCCATCAAGCTCACATCGATAGGCTACATGTTCATTTTCATACATAGATCACACCAAACTTTTATCATAAATAAATCACACATATGCATAGATAATTTTTGAATAACCCACCTGGATTCTGGATTGATAATAACTCAAAGCAATTGGTAGTAGGTCGAGGCTGGACTCCTCAATTACCTACATTGAGTCAAGATGCTACAATCAACATCTATCTTGACTTTAAACGGAAAACACAAAACAGACCTAGTTTTCGACTAAGTAGTTCGTGAAGTCCTGTGAATGTTGGAACACTAAGACTCGGCACTAAACTCGACCAAACCACATATGGGAGTTCACATACATCCATCTAAGGATCGACCAAGTCAAATTCACATCAAAACGAAAAGCAAGTCGATTCCCAACTTTTATTTCAAAATCATGTTTCGAAAATATTAATCATTAATCACATGAAAATAGATGGTCAGGCTACCCTACGACCTAGGCTCTGAAATTTTACACAAAATTACATCTTCCAGTAATAAGTAACACCATAAATTTTCAGCTTTAAACTCAAAGTACATTAATTTATAAAATTCTTACAAGAAATCAGCAAAAACGCACATGAATTCATATCTGAACCAAATGAACGATTCAGGACTTGAAAGTTTAACACAACAAGCTACAACATGATAAGGACAACATGTAAAAATATCAGCCCTGGACATTAAATGTGCTATTTTTAAAAATTCACACAAGATTCAGCAATTATCGATTTTAAATCAAAACAGCACTAAAATGAACTCCTAAACTTTTCATCTTTTAACAGCATGCATATACTCCAAATATAAACATCTCAGCCAAGTTTCAGAATTTTTCATGAACAAACCGATTTATAGTAATTCATAAAGTTTTCAGCAGAAATAGAAATTAAAATATTAACCATATCAAATCAAGTCCAAAAATTCTAAAAATTTAACACAACATATAAAAGTCACAGAGGCATGACATATTCGAATCTCAGCTCATTTCATTCACGAATGAAGTTTTTATGCATTTAACACCATTCTGATCAGATTTCACCTTAATTATTAAGTATAGCTACAGGCCTCTAAAAATTACGAAATTTTTACACAAGGCTGGCAATGAACAGATAACATATCCCTCAAAACTTCAAGTCATTCGGAGCAGTGTGCAATTTTTAAAAATTCAAACACCAAAACAGCAACATATATACTCGACAACTAAGCAATTAATTCATAACATGAAACTTCTCGTCCGAGGCCTTCTCGTAAGTCCAAGGACTCGACTTTGTTCCAATATCCACTGACGTACATGACTTTCAAGGTCTCGTTCAATTTATCATATTTGAAGAGATCCCGAACGACATAAACGACACATAAAAATCATATCTTTCATATAAATTCATGTCGAACCCATTAATCGCAACATATTCACATCTCGTAAATCAAATCGCAAGGGGAACGTCACGTCATTTAAAACACGATAAGCAATTAACATATAAACGATTTAAACGAGACGGGATCGACTAGGTACCGTTCTCGGGAAAACTCAGAAAACGGAAACGAAAAAGACGAACGGGGATGACGGGCTCGACGGATTCTCGCATCTCGCCGGGAAAGAAGGTGCAGCAGCGGCTATTCTCGACTGCTCGGTTGCTGCGGCGCTCGATGCTTGAGACGAGGAGCAGCTTGCGGCGGCACAAGGCGGCGACACGGGCTCAACGGCTGGCTCGCGGAAGAGGAGCAGGCTTGACGCGGCGGAGGAGGTCGCCGGCGTCTATGGAGGTTCGCCGGGCGGCAGCAAAGGTCGAGGACGGAAGGCTGGGATCACAAACAGAGGAGGTCTCGTCGTCGGAAGTTCGCGGGCTTGCTCGTGGGAGGAACAGGCTAGCCGGAAATCGCAAACAGAGGGGTCGTCGGCGTTGCTCCTGTGTGTTGGCGATTATGACGTCGGGACTGATGGTCGCGGATGTCAGAGGTGCAGCGTCGCTCGGTGGTCGTCGCCGGTTGCTGCTGATCGCGAGTTGAGAGAGGAGGGCTCGTCGGTGGTTCGGAGTTGCCAGAAAAATTCTGCTCGCAGAGGTTGCGATGACGGGGACTGAACGTGGTGATCGGGAATTTATGGCGAGGGAGATGAGGGGTGAGATGAGAGACGATCAATTGCAGGAGGATAAGAGAGAGAGAGATCGATTGAGAGCTTGAAGGAGAAAAATCTGGAAAGCTGCGCGATGTGTTTTGAGGATACAAGAGTTGAGAGGAAATATATATATATATATATACATATATAACTAGGTCAAATATTCTTGATTTCCAACAAATCACACACACACACACCCTCACGTGTGAAATAAAGAAGGGATCTCGGGATTGGGGTCAGCCGGGCCGGTTCGGCTCGGCCCATAGACCGGGTCGCGCGGTTTCAACGAGTTTGAGCCGAGGGTTCGGTTCTCGCGGTTAACTCTCGGGCTCGATAAATCGCACTATAAATAAATAGAAACCGGGAAATAAATAAATTGCACATATATACTTAAAGTAATAATAACAATAAAAATAAGAATACACGTTTAAGCAATTTATTACAATTAGACAAATAATGACATTTAGACATTCATTTAATCATAATAATAATAATGATAATAATATTAATTAGAAATATTCCAAATATTCTATAAACGAACGGGGCGCTACAATATGCCTAAAGAATAGATCGGTTTACCACATCAATCGGACAAGCTTGATGTCGGGAAAATTGTATTAGTCGAGCGATAATCGACCAAAAGGAAAGTGGTCGAGCAGAATAGCAGAACTGGTCGATGATCGACCTAGCGAAGGAAGACTCGGTCAAATCGAGCACTTTACAGGTGAAGAGCAATCGAGAGCGTGGCTTGGACATGAGGAGGCACGTGGGCTTCGTCAGAAGATCCTAACAGAATGTGTAGAGAATAATCTCTCTCTGTTCAGAGGGACACGCGGCGAGAGTATATTGGTGCAGAGCAATAGTGGCGATAGCCACCTCTGACACCACTGACACACGCACACTGTGTGTGTACGGACGGGCAACGCGGGTACGACAGCTCACAAGATCCGGGCAGCTCCTAGGGCAGGTATCTCATACCTATATATATATAAGAGTGTGTCATTTCTTGTGACTTACGATTTATCCATTACATACTTTGGAGAATTGAGTAAAATATACACTGACTTAAGCATCGGAGGCTCTTCACCGGAAAACCCCTCCGGTGTGAGAGTTCTGTGCAGGTGCGCGGCGTTCTACCGGCGAGGAGGAGGAAGACAAGCCGATTTCAAGCCGGTCGGAGTGTTTTGCGTTACCAGATATGCATTCTATTTTATCTTGATGTCTATATTTATCAATTCTATCCCTGTGTTTTTTTTTTTTTTATTTTCTTTCCTTTTTTCATGGGTATTGTTTTGATTTTATTTCAATATCCTTAATTAGATATTTAGAACTATTGAAAATGGTAAAAGTCAAATAAATTGCCGAGTATGCTATTCTAAATTCTTCTTATGCATCATGAAATTTTTTTTATATATTCTTTTTTTACTTTTCCAATATTACGTCTTTTATCCTTTTTTTACTTTTAAATTTCAATTTTTTAAGATGCTGGAAATATTTTTCCTATTTCCATTTTAACATTTACTAGTTTTTAACCCGTGCATTAGCAAGGAAAGCAATATAATAGAACAAAAAATAATAAAAAGATATGAACAATTGTAAAAATTATAATATAATTATTGGAAAAATGTTCTAAGATAGAATAACTAAATATTGTTAAACAATTCTTTATATACAACGTTTGTGATTTTCTATCAACAGAATTTCCATCACTATAAATCTCTATCTTCAAATTAAGACATATAATGGTTTTCTTTTTTTAAATAATTATTGTATTTTGTACTGTAGATCATATATGAATTTTAAAAAAAAAAAATCTAAAAAAATACCAGCAAAATATTACAAAATAAATAATTGTATTTGGTTGATAAATAATGATATGTGTCAATTATTTAAGACATTTGAACAAAATAGCAATTTTTGGGCCATAAAGAAATATATTGATTGAATGATAAAAAAAATCCCAAATTAGAAGTCCACTTAATTTTCTAGGGTAGCCAAAATCAAATATGAAACAGGTCAATGATAACATGACTATAAATAGAGATAAACTCCTTGAGAGTGACGTAAGCCATTTTTTTTTGTTTGATGTCGGCGCTTCTCTCGTTATTCACTCTGTCTAAAACCTAATCCTTAACCCGATCTTACGACAAACTCGGTGAGATTCAATACAAAACAAATATTTTACCGGAGATTTTCTCCCGGTAAACCCTTAAAAAATTAAAAAAAAAAAGCATCCGAGAAATATTGTTTTTGTGGCCAACAGTAGTGATCGAAAAATAAATATTCGTCCCGATTTCTTAATCTGTGTTGTAAAATCTTAACAGGTCGGTCAAAATCGGCCGATAATATTACAAATCTATGAAGAGCTGAAATATTTTTTGTTAAACGTAGTTTTTATTTTTTTATTATTTTCAATGATCTGTGTCGTTCTTCGAAATTCTTTGTGAATAAGCTTCAAAGATATATCATATTTTATACATAATTTGAAATTATTTAGATGTTTTTCGAAATCGTTTTTCGAAGAGAACATGACATTGGTCGAACTTTTTCAAACTTCTATGTATTTTGTTCTGGGTTTGAAAAAATAGGTAAGTTTCTAACAGACAGCTCTACTAACAAATATATAGGTAAGTTTATAACATATCTGTTTATAATATACATATGTAACTCTTATGTATTTTGTTCAGACTTTGAACACTAAATAATTCAATTCTTTCCCGTCTTTCTCATCATATCAGTAAGTGAAGCTTTGCTAACACTTGTTCAAAATCGCATTTTGAATTGTTCAAAGTCTTTTGCTGAAGTTTTTCAAAGTTTTTAGTATTTTGTTCAAAATTTGGATATATTAGGTAAGTTTATAACAAATCTGTTTAGATATATTTATCGCATATTAGAAATTTCTTGTTTAATGTTTAAAAGAATCTGTAGAAATTTTTATTTTTAAAACTTTTACACGAAAAAACGATTTTAATATAAAGGCAAATGTCTTGGTAAAAGTTGAATGTGTTGATAATGATAGGGAAATCAAATTATTTTTCTTTCTATAATGTATAGTGTCCAATAATGTTCCACATGATTTGCTGCGTTTTTAATTGATTTTTTCATATAGATTTGACTTTCTTTTTGTTGATTATTAATTATGCTTGATATTTCTATATTATGCAACAATCTGCCATTACATACAATGCTTTGTCAATCTTCATTCTTTGGCTCTGCCAATTTTCGTTTAATATGACTTTTCTGTTGCTGAAAGTATGACTTTTAATGCATTAAAATATTGATGTTTTAGATATGTTTTGATGCTATAATCATGTAGAAATTTGTCCCGCCACTTTTTTCCTAAAGATGAATTGTTTAATGAAGATTAATCATATTTATATTTATAATTGTGAAATAATATTTTTTTTCACGACCAACAGTTTTTTTTAATGAAAAATATGAGACAATTTATTCAACACACTTTTTAATTTATAAAACAGAATGTTGATTGCGATAATCAAATCTTCAGAAATCATGCATTTTATTGAATAGTAGTAATATAAAATATTTTATTATTACTACCAAATGAAAAGTCAAAGATAGTTAATTTTGTCTATTAATTATGATCATATGAATTTTTTTATATATATGTTTTTTCAAGGAACTTTTTAAATGATAATATTGACAATATTTTTTTTTTTTCGAAACGATAAGGATATTATAACATTAACAAGAAAACCGCGAACAAAGTTCGAATACATAGATGGGAAGTCCCATAGACTCAATGGAAATAAAAATGGGAGAACACACCATGAGGTGGTCTAAACAATCTAAAGACATATGAGGCCAAGGCAGATAAGCTGAGTCCTTAGTCCTCTGACACTCTACACTACCTGCAAGACTAATCAACAGAAATAAAGACAAACCGACTCCTAACACACCAAAGAGAAAGACAGCAAAACAGAAAAATACACCCAAGGCTACACAAAATATCAAGCCACAGCTATGAAAGACTGCTCAAAGCTGCAAACTCTTGCCACTCCCTGACAGCACCTTTGATTATCATGTGGTCAGGGATCTTCTCTCCTTTGAGTAGCCAATGGTTTCTGGCTTTCCAAAGCCACCATAACATATAAGTTGTTAATTGAATCCTGGCTTCAGCTACCTCTGTTCTTACCACTTTGCAAATATGACCCCACCAGGTTTTGAAGGAACATTCCTCAGCTTTGATGCCTCTCCAACTGATTGGTCCTGTATCCCACATCTTCCTAGCTCCGTCACATTGAAAAAACACATGTTCCACAGTCTCCATTCCTGTTCCACAAGTCTGACATGTCACATCCACTTCAACCCCCATCTTCCTGAGATTCAGTTTGACAGGCAGTGTCCCAGTGACACATTTCCAGATGAAATGCTTAAGCTTTCCCTTTATTTTTAGGTTCCAGCTTCTGACCCTTGCCTTGTGATCCTGCTTTTTGGTGTTGCTTCCTTCAGGTATGACAAGAGCTTGCAGTTTTTGTTCTATCAGGTAAGCATAAGAAGCAGCCACTGAGAACTTACTTTTCTTGTCAAACCTCCATCTGCACTTATCAGCATAGTCAGGGTTAAGTGAATTGATCTTCAAAATTGCTTCACTGTCACTGGCATTGAACACCTGCCTCACAAGCCATTCATTCCAACCATCTCCATTATCATTCATCAGCTCCCTTACCCAAATCAGGTGACCTCTGGCTATCTCTATCAGTTCAGGTTTGCTTTCAACCAGGTTAGGCACCCAATTCCCATCTTGAATTTTCGTATCCCTACTATTTCTAATCTCCACTTGAAGTCCTTTAGAAAAAGTAGGCAATATATCCATCCAGCTCTGCCACAACCATGATGCATTCTGTTTCTTCTCAACCTCTAAAATGGAAGAATTAGGAAAGTACCTGCCTTTAAGTACTCTGCTGACCATGAGTTGAGGATTAGTGGTGATTCTCCACATTTGCTTGCATATCAGTGCTTCATTGTATAATCTGACATCCTGGAACCCCAAACCACCTTCTTGCTTGGGTATGGTCACTAAATGCTAAGCTTTCCAGTGAACCCCCCTCTCATGTTGGTCTCCCTTGCTCCACCAGAAATAGGCACACATTCTTCATAATTCTTTGCATAGAGAAATGGGCATTTTGAAGTAGGACATTGCAAAAACTTGAATAGCATTAAGGACTGATTTGATTAAAATCTCTTTCCCTGCTGTAGAGAGCCATCTATTCTTCTAGCTCTGCAGTTTTGTTCTAACTCTCTTCAGAATATAGGCATTGGCTTCTTTTTTTGATCTTCTTATTCCCAGTGGAAGTCCCAAGTATCTTGTTGAGCTGTGGATCTTGATACCTTGCAACACATTACATATACTGGTTTGAATCTGAGCAGGAGTGTTCTTGCTAAAAAATATGGTTGACTTCTCCAAATTAACTGTCTGTCCAGTGAAGAGCTTGTATCTGTGCAAAATGTCAAGTAAGACCATATAGACTTTGCTATAATAATTATATAGATTGTGCTATAATAATAATTTATTAATTTAATTCATTATTTTTTTAAATTCATCTTCCTCTTTTCTCTCTCTGGCAGCGGGGTGAGGATGGCGATCTTCGGCGGATTTCGTCGATCTGAAATTGAAGACCGTCGGAGCCCGAGGGTGGAGAGGCTAGGAGGAGTGCGACCAGTGGCTGGAAGCGGCTCGTTGGCTGCGCCGCTCCTGTTCAGGTTTCCCCTTTCCAGTCTTTGTCGATGGGTTCAGCTCCGGTGTCTGTGGATCTGCTCTATTCGCCGGCGTTTCGGTGTGGAGCGGGAGAGTTGTGGTCCGTCCCCGGGGGCTGGGTGGGGAGGTCGGGTTCGAGCTGTGGTCAGAGCGGCTCTTATCGCCGGGCTTGAAGGTCTTCCCGATTGCGGGTCTTCGGTTTTGACCAGAGTCTGGTATCTGGTACCTCGGCTTTGCTGGGGTGTTGGGTCGGGTTTCATCCTTGCGGGCTGGGTGGATAGGTGGTTGTTCCGGGCTGGGTTTGGTCCTTCGGGCAGGATTGGCGTGGCTGAGCTCTGAGGTCATTCGTCCCCTTCCTTCTCTCTCTCGGTTTCTGAGTTTGTGGGAGGCCGTCTGTTTCTGGAGTTGGCTAGTGGTGTTAGGCAAATTCGGGATGGTTTCGGATTGGCTAGTGGTGTTAGCTGGTTGGGGGGCGATTGTGATTTCTTGCGGTCGGTGCGCGGGTCAGTTTTTATGGTTTGTTCTGAGACTATAGTCTTCGTCTTGCTAGGCCTTCTGCAGTGGCGGGCGAGGTACTAGAGCTTTGGAGCTCTCTTCGGAGCTGGCTTGGT